GAAAAAGGAGAAAAAGAGAATAAAAACTGACTATTGGAAAGTATGAGGAAGAGGAGCAGTTGAGAATATGGCGGACAGAGAAAAAGGAGAGGAAAGAGAATAAGACATGAAGATTGGAAAGTAGAAGGAAGGGGGAGGACTAGAAAAATGGAGAGGAAAGAGAATAAGACATGAAGATTGGAAAGTAGAAGGAAGGGGGAGGACTAGAAAAATGGAGGGGAAAGAAAAAGGAGGGAAAAGAAAAAGGAGGGAAAAGAGAAGAAAAAATAACGACTGGTATGTAGAAGGAAGAAAAGAACAAGAAAAGATGGCGGGGAAAGAAAAAAAAGGGAAAAGAGAATAAAAATTGAGGATTGAAAAGTAGAAGGAAGAGGATGATTTGAGAAGATGGCGGTAAAAGAAAAAGACCAAAATCACGGGATCTAGGTAAAGAGTTAGAGGAAAAATGAAGAATATGAATTAGAAGAAAAAGAAGACGAAGAAGAAGTGGGAGGTGAAGAGGAGGGGATGTGGAGCAACGGCTGTGGGAGAAAACTTTTTTAACATTAAATAACAAGCTTTTTAGCTTCTGATAGTCACAGGTTACGTAAACAAATTATATTTTTTTTATTAATATTATCGAAATATCTGCTTATAAAGTAATGCATCATACATTTCCATGTGCAAATTTCACACGGTAAATTTTTACTGTTTGTCACTGGGGACTAATTTAATTTCAGAACTGAAGAGCTGAATGAGTTTGAACTCCTTACACCATTCGAACGAAAAATAACGAAGAAATATAAATAAAGAAAGAACAATATTTAAATAAAATCAGACAACAGAAAAGACGAGAAAGCCGAGCGGATGAAAGAGCGAAGGAACGAAGAAATAGAATTATAGTCTGTCTGTCTGTCTATCTATCTATCTATCTAATTCTATTCCTACCCTATCTATCTATCTATCTATCTAATCCTAATTCTATTCCTATCTATCTATCTATCTATCTATCTATCTATCTATCTATCTATCTATCTATCTAATTCTAATTCTATTCCTACCCCATCTATCTATCTATCTATCTATCTATCTATCTATCTATCTAATCCTAATTCTATTCCTATCTATCTATCTATCTATCTATCTATCTATCTATCTATCTATCTATCTATCTAATTCTATTCCTATCCTATCTATCTATCTATCTATCTATCTATCTATCTATCTATCTATCTATCTAATTCTATTCCTATCTATCTATCTATCTAGAGAGTACGAAATTTATATATGAAGAAAGAAAGAATGAAAGAAAGAAAAGGAAAACAGAGAGGGAATTTCCCATTAGAAGTAAAGGCGAAGACGAAATTATGAATGCAGCTGAAGAAAAAAAAAAAAAAAAAAAAAAAAGACACCTGACAGAGTAACACGCAGAAGAATTTAATTGTAACACAATTTGTAAGCGTATAGACGCCCTTGTGGCGTATAGAACCGAGGTTCCACTGTACAAGAAGAAACAGTTGAAATTTCTCGGACAAATAATTAGAAAAGAAGGCTTGGAAAAATCTGACACAGGACAGTTTGAAGTCAAGAAAGACCGGGAAAAACAGCGCATAACTTACTTAGTGAACTTGAGTAAATGGATGGAGGAACAAGATTTAGGATAAATAACAAAAAGACAAAATTTATTAAGAGTTTCCAAAGAAAAGGAAATTGTGGAGAGCCGTGATTACCTACGTCCTGGAGGGTAACTGCGCATAAAAAAGATAACTGGAATCAAAAGTGTCGAAGTATCGCTGTTGTGCATGTCTCTCACAACTGTTCTTCTGCTGGTGTAGACTTCATAATTATTGGATATTGAATAGAATGCTATTATGTTGAAGGACTGTCAATTGGTTAAATACCGTTCCCTGTCCGATAGATATAATTTTGTGTCTGTCACGGTTGAGGCAACCATAATTATTGACTCTCCAGCGATCAAACTTGTTTGCCGTCCAATCACCATGGCAGTTAAACTCAGCGTCGAACCGCATGAAACCGACTGCCAGAGGCTTCCAATCGTAATCATCCATAGCAACATGTTTGCTATTATACCAGCGTGAATCTATTATGATTAATTCTACTGTTATCGCTTAAATTAGGTTTCTTAAAATATAATATATTTCGTTATCCAAGAAAAAAAAAAAATTTCTGTTATAAAAATATTTTCTTTTTTTAACTTTAATATTCAGATATAAGTAAGAAAATGTAGAACGCGAAAAAGTTCTTTATATTTTTTTTAAGTACAATAAAAACAATGATTATTTAAAAATTGGTATCAATTTTTTTTTTTTTATTATTTCAAACAAAAGAAGGTATGAAGCTGAGCAGGAGGTGATCGATCCTGGTTTGGTTGCCTGGTTCTCATGTTATTACTGGCCCGAAACCTACAATGACATCACCAGGAATAAGCATTGTTGATGCTTTTCGGCATACGATAATTAAAATTCCAAATACAGTCAATTGTCAACTCAATAGTATAATCAAAATGAAACCTTAAAAATGAGACAAATTTGAAAGGGTAAAAAAAGAGAACCTTTATTTTTAAAAAAAACGTAGTGTTATGCTAAATACGTTTAAATTACGATATTTAAACTAATAAAGATATACTTTATATCTTTTAAGATATGCAGATGACAGTGTTGTTAGAAGACACGGAAAGAAAACTACAAAAAATCCTACAGAAAGTAGTGAAGGAAAACGAGATGCATTACATTTTTGACATTTTAGTGACTGATTTTCAAGCTCTGTCTATATCTCTGAGATGAGGTATCATGATTACTTGCATTATTTACATTATTTGGACTGCGATCCTCATCTTCATTGCCATATTCACAACGTTTCGGACGTTGTACCCTCCGGCCTTCTTCAGGTTATTGGATCTCTGAGACGAGGTATCATGATTACTTGCATTATTTACATTATTCGTACTGCTATCCTCATCTTCATTGGCAAATTCACAACGTTTCTGTTGTTGTACACTCCGGCCTTCTTCAGGTGATTGGATCTCTGAGTTGAGGTATTATGATTACTTGAATTATTTACATTATTCGGGCTGTTATCCTCATCTTCATTGCCATATTCACAACGTTTCGGCCGTTCTACGCACCGGCATTCTTCATTGTCATATTCACAACGTGTCGAGACTGTAAAGGGAAGACCGGGGATCTCCTGCACATAAAAGGCAGCAGTGCTCCATTCTCGGCATGATCTGGCTCTTGTAAATGTAGCGGATAGTTTGTTTTATTTTTTAAGCAATTCCCCGCAAGTAAGTCGAGAGTGCCACTAGCACGCAAGGGTTTACAGAGAAGGAGAGCAAGAATAAAGAGGTGTGTTTTGGGGGGGGAAGGATAAAGATAAGGACGGGGAACGAGATCAAGTCATCAAAAGATGTCCATTGACGTTACATTTGAATATTTGAAGACAATAGCCATCAGGGAAGCAAGTAAGAGGAAAGGTGTTCCACAGACAGGAAGTGCGAGATAAGCTGTTGGAGTAGAAGAGACGGCTATATTAAATCGTTTTGACAGTGAAAGGGTGAAACCGAGATGCCAACCTAGTAGCACGCTTAAATTCATGCAGTTAGGGTACCAAAGAAAGTAACTCAGTTACCGTGAAAATACTTGTAAAAAAGACAGAGGGAAAGCAACAACACGTCTTTGAGAAAGTGACAGTAGACTAGATGCCAGATCAAGTCCTATCACATTGCATAGCCATCTCTGGATTCTGTCGAGGACCTCGAGACTTACGGTGGGGGCACCAGACCATATATGGCAGCAGTATTTCATGCAAGGACGAATGGTTGATTTATAGATTGGAAGGATGGATTCAGGCGAGAAAAAAACTTTCTGTAGTAGGAAGAGTCCTGAACTTACGGAAACGGTACAGGAAATCAACCATTTTCTCCGAGATCTTTAGCGATGAATTATATGTACGAGTCTCAGTAGAGGTCCGGGTTGAGTTTAAATGCCTCAGGGAACATTCGTTTATTGCTACTGTTGAAAGTTCTAGGTCCGATCGGCGATGTGTGGAATGTTATTTTATATTTAATGACGTTTTTTTTATAAACCTATAATTAATACTGGATTTTTATGTTAAATTTTAATAATTAATACCAGCTTTTACATTGAGCATTAATAGTTTAATACGACTGAAAGAACGATTTATTTTATTACTACTACTACTACTACCACCACTACTACTACAGTTAATAATATTATTACCGAAAGAAGGCTTAACGATAATGTTTTAATGTTTTTTCAATTAAATAAAAAAAATAAGGACGAAGACGTAAAAGAAAAAATGGATGAAAAAAGAAAAAGAAAAAATAATTAAAATATGAAAAGAAATAAATAAAGAACATTAGTGTGACAGGAGTGATTTGAAAGCTTGATTTAAAAAAAAAAACAAAAAAAAACAAACAAAGTAATATTGAAAGAAAGATGAAAGCGAGATAAAAATATGCAAATAATAAAAATAATTGAAAAAAAATGAAGTTAAGATGAATACATAAAGAAAGAAAGAAAGAAGTGTAAGAATGTAGAGAAATGTGTTGATAAGGTAAGGAAGAAAAAAATTAGAAGGAATTACCAGGGAAAAAAAAGAAAGGCAGAAAGAAAATGAAGAAAGAGGTAGAGTTATAGTAAGACAATGTTATAAGAAAAAAACGAAGAATATGAAAGAATGTCCGAAAGAAAAAGAGAGAAAAAAAAAAAAAAAAAACGGGGCGAAAGGGAAAAAAAACGAAAGTAAAAGAAAGGAGTGTGAAAAAAAACTGTAAAAAGAAAGAAAGAAAAAAGGAGATGAGGAAAGGAGAATGATAATGGCGAAAATGACGTTGAAAGAAAGAAAAGAAAAGAAAGAAAGAAAGAAGCAAAGAAGGAAAGAAGGGAAAGGGAATAGAGTTAAAATAAAAAGAAGATAGAAAAAAAAACAGAGATTAAACATCATAGGAAAGAGGAAACAAGTGGAAAGACAAAAAATTCTCAAAGAAAAACAAAAGAGAGGGAGGGAGAAGAAAGAAAGAAAGAAAGAAAGAAAGAAAGAAAGAAAGAAAGAAAGAAAAAAAAGAAAGAAAGAAACGTAGAGAAAAAAACGGCGAAAGGGAAAAAGACGAAAGTAAAAGAAAGGAGTGTGAAAAAAAACTGCAAAAAAGAAAGAAAGAAAGAAAAAAGGAGATGAGGAAAGGAGAATGATAATGGCGAAAATGACGTTGAAAGAAAGACAAGAAAGAAAGACAAGAAAGAAAGAGGGGAAGAAGAAAAGGGAATAGAGTTAAAATAAAAAGAAGATAGAAAAAAAAAACAAAGATAAAACATCATAGAAAAGAGGAAACAAGTGGGAAGACAAAAAATTCTCAAAGAAAAACAAAAGAGAGGGAGGGAGAAGAAATAAATAAATAAATAAATAAATAAATAAATAAATAAAGAAAGAAAGAAAGAAAGAAAGAAAAAAAAAAAAAAAGCGAAAAAAAAAAAAACAGAAAAGAAAAAAAAAACAGAAAAGAAAAAAAAAATTGTCCGTGGTTGTCGATTATTTTCTTTTTTCCCACGGTGGCAACTGCTTAGTAAAGTGTCGAACAGGTCGATTATTTAGATAATTCGTTTCCCGGTAGAAGCCAAGCAGTTGAATTAAAAACAAAATCATTTCCACATATTTAATATTAATATTTATTATTAGTGACGTTAGAAGTCGTCGGAAAATGGGGTCCGTTATTATAAATAATTCTCTTCTTTTTTTGCCACTGAGAGAACGCTTTTATGTTTTCATTATTTTCTTTGCCACATAATTCTCTCTTTGGTCTCAAATCCGTTAACAATCGATAATGATCAAGTGACAGCAAGTCTTCCCAAATCTCTAACTGTCCCCTCCGCATTCTTTAACATACTGCTTGGATTGAACCAGCTCAAATCATCGCCGGTTCTTGTATTATTATTATTATTATTTCTTTTGATTTCTGGTGTGTACTCAAGGTCAGAAATGGAATCATGACATTTTCAATTTAGCAATTAAAAAAATCATACATATTTTACATAGATAAAGCCCTGTATTCGTGAGAAAATTTTTTTGTATTTCTTTAAGGCATGGTCTACCAGGAATCCCTTCAATGAGTCTAATGGAATCTTTTCCAATCGTTCTGAGGGCTCCAACTACAACAGGGATTGTTGATGTTCCCATGTTCCACATTTTTGAGATTTCGATTTCAATGTATTTTGATAGCTTTTTGAAGATCTTCAAAGATACATTGCAGTCTGCAAGGACTGCCATATTAATAAAGAGGCATTTTTTGACTTTGCGGTCTCTAATCACAATGTCTGGGCGGTTGGCTTTGATTGTTCTGTCTCTGTGTATTGTAAAGTCCCATAATATTGTCACAGGCCCTATCTCCGTAACCGGGTCTGGGTGGTGTTCATACCAATTTATTGCAGTTTCCTTTCCATAAAAGTTGCAGATTTTCCAGTGCAGATATTTGCCCACACTATAATGCCGGGTTTTATATTCAGTTGGTACCAATACAAGATGGTCAATTGTTTCTGGATATTTATCACAGAATCTGCATTTTGGGTTAACACAGTTTTTCAGTATGCGTGCAAGGTAATTTTCATTGGTCCTGTGAAGGAATTATTATTATTATTATTATTATTATTAATTGTGTATGTTATGTTTCCCGCTTTGCATCCTGTAGAGTCGGGTCCAAACTATGGCCGTTAGGTCCACCAGGAAAATTGTCATTTAATTGATAACACGTTTCTTAGTATATGGAATGTTCCTAGTAGGGCAATTTTCTGGGTAAATTCTATGTTCATGTTACCCGGGACACTGTTAGTAACATTGTCCATACCTTCTCTCACGTGGCCTAGTGCTCCAATTACTATTGGTACAGTATCAGTCTTCATTCCTCACATCCTGTTGATCTTCATCTTCAGGCCTTTGTATTTGATCAATTTCTCGATCATTTTCATGGACATATTTTTATCAGAGGGCACCGCTGTCAATATGCAAAAAATTCCTGAATTTCTTAAACTTTATGATAATATCAAGTCCGTTGGCCTTTATTTTCCCGTTAGTTTGAATTGGCATGTCCCAGAGGATAGTTACATCGTTATTTTGGGTAACTGTGTCTGGTTGGTGCTCATATCATCTCTCAGTGGTTTCGATTTTGTGCTTCTTGCATATCTTCTAGTGCACATATGTAGCTACCTTGTTATGTCTCTGGGTATATTCAGTTTTTGCCAGTTCCGGACACCTTGAGATAATATGGCCGACAGTTTCATCATATTTACGGCAGATCCTGCATTTCGGGTTAGTTTCATCCTTGATAGTGATAGGATCTGGTTGCGAGGCTTTTGGTGCAATAACTAGGCCACATTTTTGAGATTTCGATTTCAAGTTCCTTGTAGATAGTTTGGTAGCTTTTTGAAGATCTTTAACGTTACATTGCAGTCTGTAGAGACTGCCATATCAATAAGGAGGCACATTTTTGTTTGGATTACCTAATAACGATGTCTGAGCGATTAGCTTTGATTGTTCCGTCTGTTTGGATTGTGAAGTTCCATAATATTGTTACAGGTTCTATCTCTGTAACTGGGTCTGGATTATTATTATTATTATTATTATTATTATTATTATTATTATTATTATTATTATTTCCAATTTTTGTTACAGTCCGTTGCTAAATCTTTTATTTGAGACTTTCCACGGACTCTTAGATTAGAGATTTTGTAACATATGTTAGAGAATACAATTACTTTGAATTTGATCATAGACTGCTTGTCACAGAACTGCCAACACCAGCCAACAAAGTAGCTCACATAGAACACAAATACATCTAGGTATAATATTTAAGAGCTTAAAAAATAGTGTGACATTAGAATTCTCTGAGAATCTAGAATCCGAGTTGCTGTAAAAACAATCTTGACCCAAACCACATAGACGAATCAAATAATGTTATTATATCAACATTGATCAGCCGAAGCACATGAGGCCATTATAAGAATACCTAAACGGGGAAAAAATACTGACGCAAGACGACAATCCTGATTGAAAAAAAATACAGTAAAGAAACATACGAAAGAGGAAAAAATATAAGGGAAAATACTAAATAATTGATAAAGAAAAATAAAAAAAAAATTTTGTTCATGCATTTAGTAAGAAATATCTCCGGAAAATTGGAAAGTAAATTAATGAAACAGCATAGGCAATGTGTTAGATTAAATCGAAAAATGACAATAACATCATACCTCACAGAAGAAATGCACCGGTCTCAGAAAACAAAAATACTTCGTATCACATTTCAACCCTGACCACACTGAACTAAAGATGCCCGCTGAAATAGAAAGTATAACAATAAACATCCAATCATTAAGAATTTCTAACGTAAAAAAAAATGATATTAAGAAAGAACATTTGAAAATAGCTTAACTTCTCGCCGCATTCAATAACATGTTAGGAAGTCTGAAGACGATTAGAAAATTACATTGTAGGATTTATATTTGTTTGTGGTAGAAATTTTGCGATAGAAGAAAATTGTTTGAATCTTTTAAAATAATATAGGTTTATATTTCATTCCTTCTTTGAAATAAACTAAATTCTGGAATAATCCTACTCCGTTCTAAGCTTTTTCCACCAGTCTTGCTTATTCCTTTTATGAATATGCATAGAAGAAAAGAAAAATGTTTTCCGTCATTTCTTGCTGTGGTCCTCGTCTTAAAAATAAAGAAGTGAAATTTGCACCAACACACAAAGATATAACATACTGTCTACATCGTCTGATATTATTCATCTTTAAATTTAAATTTTGACCTCTGGAATAAGTAGATGTCTCGTTTAGCCGATCTTATATCTCCTGTTCTCCCAAGACTAATGAAAATATAAAAACAATAGCAATAATTGCAAGATTTCGAATCATCTAATGACTGGGAACACCATTGCCCTGACAGGAATTTACGACAACGAAGAAGTAGACAT